CTATTGTCACAGCCGCCCTGCCCGCTCACGTGTACCCTCAGCAGACTGGCGGTCCTGGCTGTCTGTCTGCCCAAGGCCCAATGCTGTGCAGGCTGAGTGGCGCCTGGAGCTCAGTGCCACTTGCAGATACCAAACGGCTGGATGGGTGTTGGAGGGACTAACCACAAGGAAATCCCTGCTCGGCGTTCAAAGGATATCAAGGCTTTGCAGATACTACTATCTAGGATTTAAACTACCAGAAATAGCTGTCAGGTCAGTGACAACCCATCCCACCAGGAGGTGTAAAGTGCAGTGCTCTGGGGACAGAGCGGGCCTCTCTTCCCCAGAGAGGGTCAATCACATCTCGCCCTGCCCTCCCACCTTTATCTTTCCCAGCCCCCCCCCCCCCCCGTCCTTTCCACGCCAATAGCTGCACTGCAGTCGGGGCCACCAGAATCTCAGAGCTGAAGCCTGGGAAAGCCTCCCTCCCCTCTCTTCCATCTCCTGAATGCGCTGCGCACACCACAGACAGATGACTCTTCCTACAACACCGCTACTCTGCCAGCCTCCTCAAATTTCTACCTGCCCTGTCAAAAATGTATCTGGCTCCAGGCTGTCCCAGGTCAAATGCAAACTCCTTAGCTTAGCCACTCAGGCGCTCCACACCTCACACGGGACTCACTCTTCCCACGCCAGGCTTGGTCCCTGAACTCACAAGACCAACCCTATGCCTGACCTTGCTTTAGTTCAGGCCCCTACCTGGAATGGCCTGTCCTTGATGGCACCCCCCAACCTCTCTGCCTGGGCAAGGCTTCCCCTTGCTATCTTATTAACTGGGTGGTCTGCAGCCAAGCAGGGTGGGCAGACAGGGCCCTCGTCAGTCATTTCCATTACTACTTCTGGCTGCATGTACCTTTCTGGACTCATCTTGCCTCCCTTCTGGATGAAAGGACAGGGATCATGGCTTCTGTGGTATGCAGAATCAGACACATAATAATCACAGTTACCACCTACTGTGTACCAAGCACTGATTAAATACGTTACAAATTTCCTTCTCCCAGAATGCCTATAACACCAGCCAAGCGCCCCTAAGGTCACCTACTAGTGGCAGAGACAGGACTCCAACCCAGAACTGCCCAACTCCAAAGCCAAGTTCTGCGGAGCAGGTGGCAAACAAAAAAAAACCTCCGCTCTCACAACCCTTTCACACAGTGTTTATGAAGCACCTACTAAGCACCAGGCAGCCAGTACAAGGTACAGGGCAATTAACAGGAATCAAACAGACAAGGCCCCTTCTCCCTCAGAGCTCACAGGCTCTGACCCCACTCCTGCCCTTCCTCCTCTAAGCCTGGGAGAGTGCAAGGACCCCCAGTTCACACAGGGCTCCACCAGGCACGGAGGCCTTTGGACCCGAGAAGCAGCATCAGGTATTATGTGGCGCCCAACGCTCCAAGAGCCTTTAGGAACCTTGTCTTTCCCTGGGCATGGAGAGCCTAAGGCTCTATAAGGAAAGTTCTTTATTCAAGGCACTGCCCAAAGGCAAGCAGACTTCCAGCAAGCCTTCAGCAAGCAGTATGAGCAATGAAGTCTCAACGACAGATTACAGACTCACCACCTTACCCACTGCACCTCTCCTGTGACAGGGTGATAGTAAGGTAGTTAGTATTTACACAATTAGGAAGTGCTGTTCAAAACATTCGCACATACTGTCTCACTTAATCCTCACAAGAGCCTGATGAGGAGGCACTGTTACTATCCCAAGGAAGTCGGGCTCCCAAGCCCTAACATACTCTGCGCAGACTCCCTTCGAAGGCGGAACCTCCCTGTTCGGGCTGTAAAGAGGAGGGTTCAGCAGGCTAACGCACCTAGCAAGGTACATGGCTGGTGCCCTATTAATGTTAAGTCTGAACCCCCTTACTGAAAGGTTACTCTGTAAAAGCCTAGGTTGAAAATGCCACTGTTCTATCTGGTTCAAGCGTGGGTTATTCTGCAACTACATCCTCTGAGCTGTCACCCCCTCTCACGGGTGGGATGCACTACAAGGAGAAGCAGGACGAGGGTCCATACTCTGGGGTCCTGCTGCTCCCTGACAGTGAGTATCCGGCACAGGGGTCAGGTGGACCGGGGTCTGAGGACCACACTATCGCTCACGCCCTTTGGGTTCCTGGAAGTTGAACAGGGAAATGGGACAAAACCCAAGGGACGCTTCCCCATCACAGCAGCTCCTGTCAGGGGTGGCCCCCCAGGCTAGGGCAGGATTCCCACCGCACCGCCAGGTTTCATTCCTGGGGGAGCGAGCTTGTGCACTACAGGGCAACAGACTGTGCGTGCACGCAGTTCCCTCCACAGCGACGGCAGAGACAAGGGCAGCACACTCCGCAGCTCTAGGGGGGATGCCTGGCACAAGCCCCAACTTTCTCTTGTCTCCTGCCACAGCTCACGCCAATATGTCTGCAGTTACATTAGGCATGGCTTTTCCTCCTCAAACTTTAGGGAAAGTGGTATGTCGTGCCCTCCCCCAAACACCATAAGGTGGAGGGCATGGACCCTGCTCTGTCTTGCTCATCCTTGCAACCTCGGCACACAAAGCAGCAGAGGGCACTAAACACACACAGGGCACTGCTTCCCGTCTGCCTGATGGCAGCAGTTCATAGCCCGGGTAGCAGGAGTCTCAATGGTCCATGCACCTGCCCTGCCTCAGTTCCCTGTGCTGTCAGTCATCTGTCCTCTTCCCTCCCCCATGGGATGTAAAAGAAGCATAAGACCTTTGAGTAATAATTAGATATATCTGCTTTCAGGGCTTCCCCGGTGGCACAGTGAGTTGAGCGCAGCGCTGTGAAGCTGCCCGCAGCCTCTGCAGCATGGGTTGCAGTCCCGGCCAGCCAGGGAGATATCCACATGGCGTGGCAGACCTCTCCTGTCTCACCTGCTGCTCCCCTCAGCAGTGTATTTCGGTCCATCTGCCTGTTCTGCTCCCCACTATGTCTCTGGTGAATCCTCTCACCCTCCCATGCCTCTGGCCTGTACCCCAGTTCTTGTATAAAAATAAATAAATCTTTTTAAAAAATAGATATATCTGCTTTCAAAGTTCTGGCTTATCGCCTTCACCAGAGCTTTCCACCAGAGAAGACAGCTGGACCGGAACGAAGGAAAAGCTGTATACATACCTAGGGTCTGAGCTGAGCTACCTACCTCGTCCACCCCAGGAGGCCAGTCAAGACACACTATGTCAACTACACAGTTTCACCTTGTAACAATATGACAACTTCCATCAGTCCCAGCAGGGCAAAACCATCTGTGAGCTGGGGAGGAGCCTGGAGGGGGTGATGGGGAGGTGCCCGGGGAGGCTCAGGGGAGGGTGATAGGGAGGCTGATAGGGAGGCTCTGGGTCCCTTCGCTGTCACATGGACACCATCTAGAACCAGATTCCAGCTCCAAGTTGAAGGCAATCTGTTAGAAGGCAGCATTTACACATAGGGCAGGACTGTTACCTGCTATGGGAATGCAAATAAATTCCATTCGCCTATGCATTTTTTAACTAATGCCAACAAAAATCCTGGATTTTACTCCAAATTCAAAAGCATTTAAGATTCTCAAGTCACTATTCTTTCCACGATAACAGTTTCTCTACCATCACACACATTGCAAACAATAACCACAGGGTTCTCGACTCATCTACACTACCCACACCACCACCTTTCCAACTGTTCTACACTGACTTACCAGAGTCTTCAAGTGGGAAGCAAATTTAATAATAAGTGCTCAGAAATTATATGTAAGCTTAGGAGAGACTAAGAACAAGGTATTGAGAAAACGAGGATGATACTCAAGCAGCTAAGTTCATGGGCATAGACGCCCCGGAAAGAGAGTCCTGCAAGCCACTTCCCCTCAGTGTCAGGTGCAGTTCCAGGCCCAGGGTACAGATATGGAAGCTAAGTCAAAGCCCAGCCCTCCAAGAGCTCACCTGCAGGCCCTACTCCCTGTGAAACAAGGTCCCCATCAAAGGACCCTGCACAGAAGTGACAGACAATAAACGCTACTCCTCCCTTGCCATCTCCAGGTACCCCATTATAATGTTTGTAAAGTAGTGCCATTTACATCTTCCAACATGTAAGCAGTCCGAGACAAAGTTTAGAGTCTTTTGGATGTGCTTCCACTAACTGAGCAGTACCCAGAGCCTCGGCTGCTTCACCTGTAAAATGGGAGCAACCACCTCTAAAGGGCTCTGTGTGGATTAAATGAACCCGCACAGGTGAAGCACACAGCACAGTGCCTGCAGAAGCGCTGCCCCTTCCCTTTTACCCCTTCCACAGTCCTTTAAAAAAAAAAAAAAAAAGACCCAAGTACAGGACCCCGGGGAAGCCCTGTGCCATCATGCCCTCCTTCTTCCCATCACATCTGGAGAATCAGGCACCCAGAGCAAGAAGCCCCTCCTACCCCGCTCCCATCCTCCCCTGCTTTTGCCCTGAGAGGTATTTATAAAACTTCAGTCCACTTTTGAAGTCCAAACTACCCAGCAGTCGTTCTTCTCCACCCAGGCCTGGGGCAGAGCCACACCCCTGCAGCCAGTTTCCCTGCTGTGATGCTATGGAGAAGTCCAGTAACTTGAATACAGCATGAGCCACTTTTTAAAATCAATATACAGGAAGGCATCAAGAAAAAAAACCTAACCAATCTGAATTAGTCACCCCAGTTCAGCAGGGACATCCTTGCACTGAACAGGGAACCGAGATCATCACAACCCTTCAGGGCCCAAAGTCCAAGCAACCATCTGCCTGCCTGGGCGGAGGAGCAGGTGGGCCCCTGTCAGTCCACTCTGCTCGGCCCCTAAGAGGTAGATGCCCCCGGCCCTTCCACCCTGCGCGCTGGGCCTGCAATCCGGGGTGTTTCAAAGGGAGGAAAGCTCACGTAGTGCGGGGCCTCGGTGAAACCTCGGGCCAGTGGAGGCCCGGAGCCGCGCCTTCATCACCAAAACAAACACACGCACGGAGGAGCTCGCTCTCTCCCTCGGCCAGGCTCACCTGATCAGGGGCACCGCCATAATCAGCAGTTCCAACCCTCACGAGCTGACAGTTCAGGGGGAACGGGAGACTGCGCCTGGTGGGGTGCATCGTGTCCAGGCCGTAAGTTGCACTCGGGGCCTGCAGGTCCCCCCAAAGGGCGGAGGCCGCACAAGGGCGATTGTGCGTTCATCCCAGTCGTGGTTCATCCCATCCCCGGCCCCACCCTGCTCCGTCCCCTCCGCCTCCGCCTGCCACCCCGCAGACGCCCGCAAGCGCCGCACCCGGGGCCCGCACACGGGCGCCCGCCTCCCCCCGCCGCTCCCGGCGCTTCCAGGAGGGGCGCCCGCACGGGGACCACACGGCCCGGGAAGCGCCGCCCGGACCTGGCAGCGCCGCTCAGGCTGGCCCCGGCGAACGGGTCGGGGGCAGGGATGGGGGAGGCCCAGGCCCGGGACAGACGGACCGACGAAGGCGAAGGCCGCGCCAGGAGCGGTGAGAAGTGCAGGGAAGGGGGTCCTGGGGTGCAGGGGGTCACGGCAGGGGATGCCCAGGCTAGAAGCAAGGAGGGAAGCCCGGGCTGGGGCCCCGGGGACGGCGGAGACAAACCTAGAGGGGCCGCCGGGGGAGGGCGGGGGGCGCGCGGGGCAGGACGGCGCCGCGCCGGCCGTGGGGAGGGGAGCCCGGCTCGGGCCGGGACGGGAACCCGGCCCAGCCCGCCGCGGAGACGGGGCCGCGCCGGGCCACGGGAGGGCGACGGGGCCCGCGCCCGGCTCTCGGGAGCGGGTGCCTGGTGTGGACGCGGGTCTCCGGGCTGGGTGTGGGGGGCACTGGCCGGCCCGAAGGCGGGCACGGGGAGCGGCGCGCCCGGCGCCAGGGTGCGGGCCGGGGACGGGCAGGGTCGCCGCCAGCCGAGCCCGCGGCCCCGACCCTCCCGGGCGCGCGGCGGGCGTCCGCCCGGGTCCGAGCCCAGCCCCTCCCCCACCCCGGGAGCCCCACCCTCCCCGGCGGGGGGCGGCGGGGGCGGGGGCGCGCTCCGGGGGGCGCCCCGCGGCCGGGGAGGGCGGCGGCGGCCTTTACCATGGCGGCGGCGGCGCGGTCCGGCTCCCGGCGTCTGTGGCTCTCCCCCCGCAGCAGGGCCGGCGCTTCCACTTCCCCGGGTGCCCAGGAGTGAACATCCGGGTCAGCGCCCCCCCGCCGGCCGCCGCCACCTTCCTTCCCCGCCCCGCCGGCCGGGCCCGCCCCCGCGCCGCCCGCCCGCGGCCAATGAGCGCGCGGGGCCGCGGCGATCGCCAAGTATGGAGCGCGGCGCGGGGGGCGGGGAGCGGGGCGGGGAGCGGGGCGGGGAGCGGGGCGGGCCGCGCGCGGGCGGGCGGGCCCGGGCCGGGGTCCGGCTCGGGGCTCGGACTCCGGGGCGGCCGGGGGCGGCCGGGGTCTCGGGGCGGCAGCACCCCCACCTCCGGCTGGGGGGCGCGAGGAGGGCGGGGCGGGCGGGGCGGGGCGGGGCGGGCGGGGGAGCGCCCGCGGCCTGTGAGGCGGGATGCGGAAGGCGCCGGCGCCGGGAGGCCCGCCCGGGCATGCCCCGCCCCGCCCCGCCCCCTCCCGCGGCGGACCCGGAACTGGCGCGGCCGCCCGGCCCGCGAGCCCGCCGGGCGCCCCCACCTGAGCGGGCGCCCCCACCTGAGCGGGCGCCGGCGGCGCGTGCACGTGGAGCAGGTGGCCCCCCTGAGCCCGACCCCTGAAAGGAGGGCCTCGGGCTCCCCCGCTCTTCGAGCCCCTGCTAGGACCAGGCTTTGTTTAGGCGCCGAAGGCGTGAGCTAGGCAGAAAGATGCCCTCGTGGCTACCTGCTGCAGGTAGAGCTGTGAGGACGACACAGGTAGAGGCTTGAAAACTGGGGTCAATAAATGATGCTGTGTTTCCCGGTGAGCGACGGAGGGCCCGCCCATTTGCCCCTTGGGGCTGCCGCACTCCACAGAGTGACTCAGAAATTTTTTTTTTTTCCATTTCATTCACCCGGTAGTCGTTGAGCTTGGGCTAGAAGGCTGGAGACCCGGAACACTATTCCTGCTAATATACCACCTTCCCTTCCTAGTGGGCCCCTCTTTTGTGGGAATCACATCAGAGATGGTAACCTGTGAGGCGCGGCATCAATGGCAGGAGGGGTCACCACAAGCCAGGCCAGGTCCCCAGCCCTGCCCTCCCGGAGTCTGTCGTCGAGTAAAAGCTGCCGCCGGCGTAAAAAGTGATTCAGGTAAGTCCGGACAGCAAGAATGATTCACACCTGTGTTACAGGAATTTAGAGACGGGAGTGGCGCTTCGGTGTCCTTGCACTTCTAAGTGTAGAAAGCGCACCTACTGTGTGCCAAGCGCTGTTGGAGACTCTAAGAGCAGGGATCCAGACAGCCCAGGCCGAACCCTTGGAGGGCAGGTGGACTGCTACTAAGTGCAGTGCTGGGAGGTGGTTATGTTAGGGGGAAAAGGATGTCCTAAAGCTAATTCCATACAGGTTTTGTGGACGCCACCCCCACCCCAGACCAAAGCCAAAGACACTGGGAACTCCAAATCCCATCACCACCAAAGGGAAAGTGGCTGGGACCTGAGGGTGGGGTTAAGCAGCCAGGTGAGTATAAAGACAGACATGTGGGCTTTGGAAGGGGTCCCCCATTTTGGCTCTTCTCCAGCTCGCAGCGACAGGCCAGCTCTGAGAGTGCCTTTGGGTTTCCAGGTGAGCAGATCGGGTAGGACGCATTAAAGACTTTATTTCCCTATTTTCTCCCTGAGTTGTACATTTTCCTTATTTCCTTTTACCTTGTAAATAAACCTTTTATTAACCTTTTGTGTGTGCCTGTCGTGGAGTATTCATAAGTCCCTTTTAAGCATGCGGGTGAGGACCCACAGCCAGGAACCCGTTCAGTATCAGGGCTGTCCTACAACAGTTAGAGGCAGAGGAAATCAGAGGGAGGACATCCGCAGACAGGTTAACAAAAATGGGCTGGAATTTGGAGGGTGGCCAGGAATGGACTTACTTAGTGACTTTTGATCAGAAGGGACCACAACGACCGGCGAGGGTACAGACCCTATGGGGACAATCTGTTGTGTGTTCTGGAGACCTAGACTGAGCAAGGTGGGGTGATTGGAGAGTTGGGCGTGGAAGAGCTGCAGAGCAGTGATGAAATGGTTTGAGCTTTCCAGGGATCAGGAGGCTGCTGTGTTCTGAATGAACTGTAGGGGGACTAGGGCCATTGGAAAGATATTTCTGTACTGAAGGCGTTTTTATTTATTTATTCATTTATTTATTTCCTCTGTGATGGACACTGTTAAGCTCTTTACAAATGGTGTTTCATGTCATGCTCATAACTCAGTGTCACACTGCAGAGGTGTAGTGTAGCTGGCTTCCACCAGCAGCAGCAAGGGGGTGGCAAGGAGAAATCCTATATGGGTATATTTGCTGATGGGCTGGTGGTGGACTTAGGAAGGAGACAAGGATGATGCTAAGATTTTAGTCTGATCAACACTAGAAGGATTTCCTGTTGGTTGATTTTGGAACATTGCTGAAGTGGGATTTTTTTTGGTTTGTTTTTGGGGGCTTTTTAGGGGGCTGGAGGTGGTAAGAGTCAGTTTGGGATAAGTTCTGTTGGAGATGCCAGAGAAGTCGTCAGATACAAAGTCTGGAATTGGAGGAGGAAGTTAACACTAGTGATAAATATGTGAGAACTGTCTGCTACAAAGTTATATTTAAAGGAACTTGAAAGCACAAGTAACTCAAGGAGCCAATGTAGAGAGAAGAGGTCAATCAGATAAAGAGGAACCAGCAAGGAGACTGAGGAGTCTAAACCTCTGATGGCTTCCCTTCCTTTTCTGAGATTTCAGTTGTAGGACCCCTTTTCTGGATCTGGGTGCTCAGAGGTCTGATCTGGGTCACTAAGGATCCTCAGCATGTAGAACATAACAGGTGCTAGGTGAAGATCTCACTGAAAGGAGTGAAAAGGAAAACAGTATCAACCTCATAGGACTATTGTGGGACTAAGCAAACCCAGAAGAAAAAAGTAATGGCTTTTTCTAATTGAGTCTTACTACTATTTCTAAGCTCTTGTATTATCATTTCCTCTTCATAGTCCTTTGAACTGGGAACTTCTTGGATTCCAGCTTATAGAAGAGGAAGTTGAGGCTTTGATGAAATGACTCTTCTAAGGTCACAGATATTTAGTGGATGAATCCGTTCTCACTTTGAGTTCCTGTGTAGGAAAGTGCTTTGTATATGGCCAGAGAGGATGCTACTATATCCCAGCACATAGTATGGCAGCTTATACGTAGTAAGTGCCTATAACTGTTTGAAGCACAGTGGGAGGGCAGCCACAAGTTAAATAATATCACCTCAGGAAAAAAGCAAATTTGAGCACCTCGGAGAAATGGCTTTCCACTATACTCTGAATTTTTGTGCCCAGAAGCTGCCCAGAAATGTGGTTTCTATCGTTCCTTCTTCAGTTAAGCCCCCCAGCTAGTACTGTAGGGTTAGTAAATGCACAATTATCCCAGGAGGCTGGGGCTTGCTTAGCTCCTAAATCACCTCTGATTTAACAGGCCTGAGCCTGCTTCCTGAGTTGGGGATCTCCAGGGATTACTAACGGTGGTGTTAGATGTTTTACTGTGTCTTTGGAGATACAAGAGAACCCTAGAATTAGCCAGCGTTTAATCCTTTGCTACACTGAATTTAACAGACAAGGGGTTTCCATCTCCCCATCTTTCAGCTCTGCTGTCACTGCTAGGGTATCTCGGGGTGTACACACACCTCTCTTTTGTACAACGTAGCCCTTTCTCATTCTCAGACATTTCGTTTGAGTGGACCAGCTCCAGAGAAGAGGGCCCCGATGGGCTGAACTCAAAGTAGGACCTTAGCATAGTCTTTGGTTTGGGGATGGGCCCTTGACCTTGACAGTGCTTTCTGCAGAACACCAATCCGGATAAACTCTGCATGATGGGGGTGAGCCATCAAGTGAGTTTGGGAAGTCCTGTAAACTATTCCCTCTTAGGGGTTCGACTTCTCGGGAACCTTACTCCTCAATTATCCCGTCTCTCCCAAAATTGTTCAACTGCTCCCCCTAAACTGGATGATTGCTGTGGCTTTAAACATGCTGAAATGTCTCACATCTGAGGTGGTTT